AGAAGTGTGATGGTTTATCATTCCAATATTTGTACCCTCATTCCCCGTGCTGGGGGCTGCTGGTGGCTGCTGGGGGCTGCTGGGGGCTGCTGGAAGCTGCTGGTGGCTGCTGGGGGCTGCTGGTGGCTGCTGGTGGCTGCTGGTGGCTGCTGGTGGCTGCTGGAAGCTGCTGGTGGCTGCTGGAAGCTGCTGGTGGCTGCTGGTGGCTGCTGGGGGCTGCTGGTGGCTGCTGGGGGCTGCTGGAAGCTGCTGGTGGCTGCTGGAGGCTGCTGGAAGCTGCTGGTGGCTGCTGGAGGCTGCTGGAAGCTGCTGGTGGCTGCTGGTGGCTGCTGGGGGCTGCTGGGGGCTGCTGGGGGCTGCTGGTGGCTGCTGGGGGCTGCTGGTGGCTGCTGGGGGCTGCTGGGGGCTGCTGGAGGCTGCTGGTGGCTGCTGGTGGCTGCTGGTGGCTGCTGGGGGCTGCTGGTGGCTGCTGGTGGCTGCTGGGGGCTGCTGGTGGCTGCTGGGGGCTGCTGGTGGCTGCTGGTGGCTGCTGGTGGCTGCTGGTGGCTGCCGGAGGCTGCTGGTGGCTGCTGGTGGCTGCTTGGGGCTGCTGGTGGCTGCTGGTGGCTGCTGGTGGCTGCTGGTGGCTGCTGGGGGCTGCTGGCGGCTGCTGGTGGCTGCTGGGGGCTGCTGGTGGCTGCTGGTGGCTGCTGGTGGCTGCTGGGGGCTGCTGGGGGCTGCTGGTGGCTGCTGGGGGCTGCTGGTGGCTGCTGGTGGCTGCTGGTGGCTGCTGGTGGCTGCTGGGGGCTGCTGGTGGCTGCTGGTGGCTGCTGGTGGCTGCCGGAGGCTGCTGGTGGCTGCTGGTGGCTGCTTGGGGCTGCTGGTGGCTGCTGGTGGCTGCTGGTGGCTGCTGGTGGCTGCTGGGGGCTGCTGGGGGCTGCTGGTGGCTGCTGGGGGCTGCTGGTGGCTGCTGGTGGCTGCTGGTGGCTGCTGGTGGCTGCTGGTGGCTGCCGGAGGCTGCTGGTGGCTGCTGGTGGCTGCTTGGGGCTGCTGGTGGCTGCTGGTGGCTGCTGGTGGCTGCTGGTGGCTGCTGGGGGCTGCTGGGGGCTGCTGGTGGCTGCTGGAGGCTGCTGGTGGCTGCTGGTGGCTGCTGGGGGCTGCTGGTGGCTGCTGGGGGCTGCTGGTGGCTGCTGGTGGCTGCTGGTGGCTGCTGGTGGCTGCCGGAGGCTGCTGGTGGCTGCTGGTGGCTGCTTGGGGCTGCTGGTGGCTGCTGGTGGCTGCTGGTGGCTGCTGGGGGCTGCTGGGGGCTGCTGGTGGCTGCTGGGGGCTGCTGGTGGCTGCTGGTGGCTGCTGGTGGCTGCTGGGGGCTGCTGGGGGCTGCTGGTGGCTGCTGGGGGCTGCTGGTGGCTGCTGGTGGCTGCTGGAGGCTGCTGGTGGCTGCTGGGGGCTGCTGGTGGCTGCTGGTGGCTGCTGGTGGCTGCTGGTGGCTGCCGGAGGCTGCTGGTGGCTGCTGGTGGCTGCTTGGGGCTGCTGGTGGCTGCTGGTGGCTGCTGGTGGCTGCTGGTGGCTGCTGGGGGCTGCTGGTGGCTGCTGGGGGCTGCTGGTGGCTGCTGGTGGCTGCTGGTGGCGGCTGGTGGCTGCTGGAGACTGCTGGAGGCTGCTAGGGGCTGCTGGTGGCTGCTGGTGGCTGCTGGAGACTGCTGGTGGCTGCTGGTGGCTGCTGGTGCTGCTGGTGGCTGCTGGTGGCTGCTGGGGGCTGCTGGTGGCTGCTGGGGGCTGCTGGAGGCTGCTGGAAGCTGCTGGAGGCTGCTGGTGGCTGCTGGTGGCTGCTGGGGGCTACTGGAGGCTGCTGCAGGCTGCTGGTCCCATCCCAAATCCTTATCCTGACCCCTTCCAAGTGCTATATAGTCGTAATGGTTTGGCAGTCTCCCCTGATAGTTGCCGTCCCTTAATATTCAGGTACGACCTGCCTCACACTGTCTGGCCAGCGGAGTCGGACACACACAGTCAATGCCGCTTTCTACTTTATTGACTTGCAAAACACATTTGTAAATTCCAGTGAGGTTGCTTGGGGGGGTGACGAAACATTCTGACCCGCGCTCATGTTGAATGTGGAATATTTAGAGTCCACGCATGACAGTGTAACGAGAAGTGACACTTAATGTACACTGAACACTGCTATTACTTCGTGAACACTGAACACTGCTATTACTTCGTGTACACTGAACACTGCTATTACTTCGTGGGCACTGAACACTGCTATTACTTCGTGGGCACTGAACACTGCTATTACTTCGTGAACACTGAACACTGCTATTACTTCGTGTACACTGAACACTGCTATTACTTCGTGGGCACTGAACACTGCTATTACTTCGTGGGCACTGAACACTGCTATTACTTCGTGGGCACTGAACACTGCTATTACTTCGTGTACACTGAACACTGCTATTACTTCGTGGACACTGAACACTGCTATTACTTCGTGGACACTGAACACTGCTATTACTTCGTGGGCACTGAACACTGCTATTACTTCGTGGAAACTGAACACTGCTATTACTTCGTGGACACTGAACACTGCTATTACTTCGTGGGCACTGAACACTGCTATTACTTCGTGGGCACTGAACACTGCTATTACTTCGTGGACACTGAACACTGCTATTACTTCGTGGGCACTGAACACTGTTATTACTTCGTGAACACTGAACACTGCTATTACTTCGTGGACACTGAACACTGCTATTACTTCGTGGGCACTGAACACTGCTATTACTTCGTGGGCACTGAACACTGTTATTACTTCGTGAACACTGAACACTGCTATTACTTCGTGGACACTGAACACTGCTATTACTTCGTGAACACTGAACACTGCTATTACTACATGGACACTGAACACTGCTATTACTTCGTGGAAACTGAACACTGCTATTACTTCGTGGACACTGAACACTGCTATTACTTCGTGGATACTGAACACTGCTATTACTTCGTGGACACTGAACACTGCTATTACTTCGTGGATACTGAACACTGCTATTACTTCGTGGACACTGAACACTGCTATTACTTCGTGGAAACTGAACACTGCTATTACTTCGTGGAAACTGAACACTGCTATTACTTCGTGAACACTGAACACTAGAATTACTTCGTGAACACTGAACACTGCCTTTACTTCGTGGACACTGAACACTGCTATTACTTCGTGGAAACTGAACACCGCTATTACTTCGTGGACACTGAACACCGCTATTACTTCGTGGACACTTATGAACTCCAGGTAGCCTGGTGGAGCGAGTCTACCAGGTGAGAGTTATTCTGCTCACCTGACCACAGATTAAGACGTCATGGAAGGCAGTTTATTAACTAAACGTCAGTGAGTGACTTATAAGAACACAAGCCTAAGAGGAGCATCTGATAAAAGTTGGATGGAATGAGATGTCGACATTATTGACGTGACGCTGATAGAGAGGGTAACATGTCACTTGAGTTACCACAGTCTCAGGAGTGGACGTTACGTCGTTGGCCTGCTGGGAAGAGGGAAGAATATAATCCTCGGTTTAGTAAGCGAGTGGAGGCTACTTGTTATCAAGTGTAAGGAAGCTGTAAGCCCGCTAAACACACCGAAACTACGACGTTGGTACAACGTTCGAACAAGTTTTAACACCACCTAACCAGTTATAACAACCAATATAGCAAGTTGTAACAACGTTCTAATACGTCATAAACACGTTAAGTCATGATGTAACAACTTTATTACAAGTTGTAACAAGTGGAAAATAGGGACAGTTTCGGTTTGTGTTTCCAGGGAGGGACGTCGTACGCTATTTCTCTGTGTAGTGAAATTATTAGAGGCGGCTTGAAGCCTGGATGGGGAGTCACTCCTGTGGGAACTGTAATATGTGTGTTCCTTCAAGTGGAGGGAAATAAGCAGGCGTTTCTGTAAGAAGCCTGCCAGGTCACTTCGTGTACTCAAGTCACGACTGGGAGGAGTTTTGAGAGACAGTCCCAAAGGACTTTTGTGGGTGGCCTGATTGAGTGGCACCATTGTGGACCATCAGTGGGAAGTGTCGCCACCTCGTCATTTCTGCAGATCTCATTAGAAAGTATTAGTGTTTATTATTAATTGATCGTGTGCCCAGCGATCATAGAGAACGTATATGAATATATAGATATGAGTAGATATATCAGGGTAGATTAAAACAGCGTTTGGGATCCTCTCGGTCGTAGGTTCGAACCCTCGTCATGGCCCTTGTGGATTTGTTCATAGGGTAGATATTTTATTAAGATAGTTAAGAGATGTAAGGAGTTAGATATGAGAGGACATGCTGGTGCCAGGAGAAGCACATCTTTGCTCACCTGTGGTCAGTAAGAGACTGAGTTGCCCCAGGGCGCGCCTCTGAGGTTGATTTCGGCGTGGACTCGCCCAGAATGGGGGAGTACCCACCGCAGTTGAACCGACACGGAGCGTCGTCGGATGGCGAGATTTAGTGTTGGCATATAAGTTTATTATTTATGTTTAATTTGGAAAAGTGTTATTATGGCATGATAGTGGAATTACAGTTTGTATGGGAGAAGTTTGTGAAGGAAGTTTGCATCTGAAGAAGATTATATGGTGAACTTCAAGTGGGAGCTGAACTCCAAGTTGAGGAGCCCATGGACAGAGCTGAACGTCTAGTGTCGGGAAGCTACACGTTTCTTTGGTGAAGCCGTTTGGAGGAGCTTCGCTGACATTCAAGTGGGACTTCAGGTGCAGCAGATTGGAAGGACTGCAGGAGTACCTACATGATTATGAGGACCCAGATAAATGTTCTTAGCAGTGGGCCTCGAGGAATAGAACAGAGAATCATATGGACACATTGAGTTGTTTGAGAGAGTACTTGATTGTGTTTTGGCATGAGAGGCGCATAAGGTGGGGTATTGATTGATTTTCTTGTTGGAGATATGTATATATAGTTGTGCCAGGTATTTCTGCCCCAAGCAGTGAGGGAGCAGTAGGCTGCGAGCGGAAGATGGAGCAGCAGCCTAATGCGGTTTATGTGATGAAGGTCTGAGGTGATATTGGAGTGTTATCAGTTGGTAGCAGCCTAGGGTGATGCACTGTAATATTATTATTATTATATTTTCTTGTGTATGTTTTTATGTAATAAATGTTTGTATGTTAACAGCTGATTTTTTCCTTGTCCTGGTGAGGCTTCCTGGATAGTGAGAGAGAGACATACAGTTACAAACTGGGTGACAGTGGTCAGTAACAATATAAAGGGGAATATAGATCATCCCACAATAAGGAGAGTGTAGGGGAGTCACGGCGGCTCGAGTGGGTATGTTCTCATGACAACTAGGCCTTCGTGGACACTAAACACTCGGCTATAACTTCGTGAACACTGAACACTCTGATATTACTTCCTGGACACTGAACACTGGACTACTTCTTAGTGGACACTGAACATTCAAGTATTAGTGGACACGTGTTGGACACCTGTTCGTGGACACTTGTTGAGCATTAACACTAACAACGTGCCGGTCACGGCCTTGATTAACTGTATTTAAATTAGTTCGGTTTGGGAGCGTATTAGCATACGTGTTCGAGCGTGTGAATGGTGTCAATATACATATGTATATCTCTATACACGGAGAGGAGAATGCGTTAGGAATACCAAGTGTCCCGTATTTACACCGCATTAAGTATTAAATACGGGGAAGTATTGTACTGGGACTTAAGAAATAAAGTAGAAATAGTGTTGTAAAGTGTTTTGGAAGAAGATTGTTAATGTTATCACATCCAGTATTAGTGTTATTGTTATCCTTCATCTTGCTACTTGTTATCATATTCTAAGACGACAGTTAAGGGTAAGGTAATACTTATTACAGTTTAACCCTGACTTGGGGGCCGGTAGTGCAAGTAGTTTGGGAATTCACATGATAACTTGATAGTTCCTCGCTGCATGTTCATATTGTTCATCAAGCATTTGGGCGTTACTTTGTGAACACAGTGTTGAACACTTGGTTCTTGGTTAACAATGTTAAACACTTGGTTAAAAGTGTTGAACACTTGGTTTATGGGCAACACATTCTTATCCCTTCATATGCACCTTTGGACCTGGGGGGGGATTAACAGGAATGGACTGCCCGTGGAAGCCTTGTGACAGTTGTGACCAGTGACCGTTGGACGTGATAACGGCTCGGTGTGAGTGAATCCGTAAACAGTAGCCGTTTATGAGGCTACTGATGAGACAACCGAGGTCCTGGTCAGCAAGTGCTCCTTCTCATATTCGCCTGTGAAGTGGCAAGTGGAGTGTTGACTTTGACCCTGGAAAGGGAGTTCTTTATTTAACTGTGTACTAGACTATATGAAGGGGAGTACAGTGTGTCTAAAAGCTAGTTACATGATGCTAAAAAATCGCCCATCACACAGGATGGTTAGTCATAGAGGCATGTGATCAGTAGTCTGCACTGGCAGACTCCGGGTGCATTATGAGGATATCATCAACACAGGAGTGAATAAGGCAGCAGTGGTACTAAAAGTCCCCATCTCGCAGGATGGTTAGTCGAAGAGAGGCATGTGAACAGAAGTCTGCATTGGCAAACTATTCGTTTAAAAACTAGTGTTAAAGTCTATGGACTGGGAACTGAGCATTTTACCTCCACAGACATGACGGAGGGACAGCGCCGACCCCAGACCGCTTGTGACACTCTTGTGAAAATCACCACTAATACTTCAAGTGTTAATGAGGCTAGCCCTATGTGTCTGGCCTGAGTGGCTTCCGGCCTCGAGCCGGTATACATAGACATTGTTAGACCTACTGGTTGGTGACAGTAAGGTTCACATTGCTAACAATAATGTCTTTCATGACGCCTCCTGGGAGAGGGATAACAGGTTCCTTTTGAACATTTAAACAGTAGAGACAAATACTGTGTTGTGTGTCGTCTCTAAACCGTCTGCTGGTTTGTAAGTCTGACTATAACTAATATAATAGTATATAATATAATATTATGACTACAACTGAGTATAACAATATATAAGCGGCACTCCGGAAGGGTGCCACTATAGTTCAGGCTTAGAGTAGCCTGCTAAGTGTACAGTGTGGCACGTCGACGGGACCACAGACTGGAGGACTGTGACCACACCCACACTTACACCCACACCCACACTTACACCCACACTTACACCCACATCTACACCCACACCTACACTCACACTAACACCCACACTAACACCCCACACCCACACTAACACCCACACTTACACCCACACTTACACACACACCCACACACACACCCACACTTACACCCACACCCACACTAACACCCACACTAACACCCACACTAACACCCCACACCCACACTAACACCCCACACCCACACTAACACCCCACACCCACACTAACACCCACACTTACACCCACACTTACACACACACCCACACACACACCCACACTTACACCCACACCCACACTAACACCCACACTAACACCCACACTAACACCCCACACCCACACTAACACCCCACACCCACACTAACACCCCACACCCACACTGGTCAACACCAGCCCCCAGAGACGCTCCCACACCCACACTGGTCAACACCAGCCCCCAGAGACGCTCCCACACCCACCGCCTGTCAACCACAACAATAACTTAACATACTCCTGTGTGCCCTTAAGGCTGTGGCACGGTGGAGTTAGCAGAGAATGGAGTTGTGTGGCGAGTGTGTCCGTGTGTGTGTGTGTGTGTGTAGCTCCGGGTCATGATCAGTCAGACTGTGTCTCCAGGCTGGTGGCTCTTGACACTCACATATGTATATCCAGCTTTGTGCTCTCCAGTAGCTGTTGACAGGTGAAGTCCAGACGTTTTGGCAATGTTAGTTTCAATCAGTCAGTTGACCTTTGTTTTATGGTCGGCAGTTGTGTCCTTAAAGAGGGAGAGAGAGAGAGAGAGAGGGAGAGCTCCCGAGTTCAATTCCCGGGTGAAACAGAAATGATTGGGCACGTTTCCTTTCACCTCATGCCTCTTATGTTCATATATGAACATTTATGAAGTTAAACAAGTAGTGTGAGGCTGGCTCCTGGAGAAGGTCGGTGGTTGGACCTTGGGAGGGCCAAGGGACAAGCCTAAACTGTACACAGGCTTCCTGTCCCCGACAAAAGAAAGCAAATTATAACCTTAAAACCTCATAAAAACTAGATTTACTCCCATCTTAAGTACGCACCACTCTCCTGCTCCAGCATATTATATACTCTCTCTTTACTAGGTGGAGAACCATTGAGTACCCCAAGACGACCTTCTGGCCAAGGTGGAGAACCATTGAGTACCCCAAGACGCTTTCTGGCCAAGGTGGAGAACCATTGAGTACCCTAAGACGCTTTCTGGCCAAGGTGGAGAACCATTGAGTACCCCAAGACGCTTTCTGGCCAAGGTGGAGAACCATTGAGTACCCCAAGACGCTTTCTGGCCAAGGTGGAGAACCATTGAGTACCCCAAGACGCCTTCTGGACAAGGTGGAGAACCATTGAGTACCCTAAGACGCCTTCTGGCCAAGGTGGAGAACCATTGAGTACCCCAAGACGCCTTCTGGACAAGGTGGAGAACCATTGAGTACCCTAAGACGCCTTCTGGCCAAGGTGGAGAACCATTGAGTACCCTAAGACGCCTTCTGGCCAAGGTGGAGAACCATACATTATATCAAGACCACACCAGACCTGACCATCAAGACCACACCAGACCTGACCATCAAGACCACACCAGACCTGACCATCAAGACCACACCAGACCTGACCATCAAGACCACACCAGACCTGACCATCAAGACCACACCAGACCTGGTCATCAAGACCACACCAGACCTGAGCATCAAGACCACACCAGACCTGGTCATCAAGACCACACCAGACCTGGTCATCAAGACCACACCAGACCTGGTCATCAAGACCACACCAGACCTGGTCATCAAGACCACACCAGACCTGGTCATCAAGACCACACCAGACCTGGTCATCAAGACCACACCAGACCTGGTCATCAAGACCACACCAGACCTGAGCATCAAGACCACATCAGACCTGACCATCAAGACCACACCAGACCTGAGCATCAAGACCACATCAGACCTGAGCATCAAGACCACACCAGACCTGGTCATCAAGACCACACCAGACCTGAGCATCAAGACCACATCAGACCTGACCATCAAGACCACACCAGACCTGAGCATCAAGACCACATCAGACCTGACCATCAAGACCACACCAGACCTGAGCATCAAGACCACACCAGACCTGAGCATCAAGACCACATCAGACCTGAGCATCAAGACCACACCAGACCTGGTCATCAAGACCACATCAGACCTGACCATCAAGACCACACCAGACCTGGTCATCAAGACCACATCAGACCTGAGCATCAAGACCACACCAGACCTGGTCATCAAGACCACATCAGACCTGACCATCAAGACCACACCAGACCTGACCATCAAGACCACATCAGACCTGACCATCAAGACCACATCAGACCTGACCATCAAGACCACACCAGACCTGACCATCAAGACCACACCAGACCTGACCATCAAGACCACACCAGACCTGACCATCAAGACCACACCAGACCTGACCATCAAGACCACACCAGACCTGACCATCAAGACCACACCAGACCTGGTCATCAAGACCACACCAGACCTGACCATCAAGACCACACCAGACCTGACCATCAAGACCACACCAGACCTGGTCATCAAGACCACACCAGACCTGACCATCAAGACCACACCAGACCTGACCATCAAGACCACACCAGACCTGACCATCAAGACCACACCAGACCTGACCATCAAGACCACACCAGACCTGACAATCTTGGAATAATGAATATAAAATGTGGCTGTGGCAGTGAGGTGAGAATGACGTCACAGAGGCGAGGACTGGAGACAGTGAGGTCAGGAGGTGGAGGTCAAGCTCTTAAGGTCAGGAGGTGGAGGTCAAGCTCTTAAGGTCAGGAGGTGGAGGTCCAGCTCTTAAGGTCAGGAGGTGGAGGTCCAGCTCTTAAGGTCAGGAGGTGGAGGTCAAGCTCTTAAGGTCAGGAGGTGGAGGTCAAGCTCTTAAGGTCAGGAGGTGGAGGTCAAGCTCTTAAGGTCAGGAGGTGGAGGTCAAGCTCTTAAGGTCAGGAGGTGGAGGTCAAGCTCTTAAGGTCAGGAGGTGGAGGTCAAGCTCTTAAGGTCAGGAGGTGGAGGTCAAGCTCTTAAGGTCAGGAGGTGGAGGTCCAGCTCTTAAGGTCAGGAGGTGGAGGTCCAGCTCTTAAGGTCAGGAGGTGGAGGTCAAGCTCTTAAGGTCAGGAGGTGGAGGTCCAGCTCTTAAGGTCAGGAGGTGGAGGTGAAGCTCTTAAGGTCAGGAGGTGGAGGTCAAGCTCTTAAGGTCAGGAGGTGGAGGTCAAGCTCTTAAGGTCAGGAAAACAGGTGTGGCGCCTTCCCAGTTACGGTGGAGGTGGTGGGAACATCTGGTTTAGTCGGGACGCCTGCAAGGTCACTATACCCGTCCTCCCAGTACCCCCAGTACCCTGCTAGTGCTCCCAGTACCCTGCTGGTGCTCCCAGTACCCTGCTGGTCCTCCTAGTACCCTGCTGGTGCTCCCAGTACCCTGCTGGTGCTCCCAGTACCCTGCTGGTACTCCCAGTACCCTACTGGTGCTCCCAATACCCTGCTGGTGCTCCCAGTACCCTACTGGTGCTCCCAGTACCCTGCTGGTGCTCCCAGTACCCTACTGGTGCTCCCAGTACCCTGCTGGTGCTCCCAGTACCCTGCTGGTACTCCCAGTACCCTGCTGGTACTCCCAGTACCCTGCTGGTGCTCCCAGTACCCTGCTGGTGCTCCCAGTACCCTGCTGGTGCTCCCAGTACCCCCCGTACCCTCCTGGTGCTCCCAGTACCCTGCTGGTGCTCCCAGTACCCTGCTGGGGCTCCCAGTACCCTGCTGGTGCTCCCAGTACCCTACTGGTGCTCCCAGTACCCTGCTGGTGCTCCCAGTACCCTGCTGGTGCTCCCAGTACCCAGTAGGACACTCACCAGACACATAATAGTGCACCAGGACAGGATACCTATTAAACACAAGGTAGTAGTACTAGTAGTAGGCAACCATCAGTCTCAGGAGACTATGGTGTGCTCGGTCAGGAGTGGCCTCACCAGGGCGCAAAGCCACGGTAGGTTGATACGGAGGAGAAGCTGTTACCCATGCAGCAAGTATCCCCCTCTCCACGGCGCCGAAAGTCTCCAATGGAAAGGCAAACGCCAGTACGATTGGTTCCAGCGCCGTCGCTGGAACTGTAAGCTCCGGAGTTGACCTCGAAGTTGGTGATAAAAGGCTCAGGGACTCTAAACCCGGAGACCGCCGTGGTCGTGGCCGGAGAAGTACGCAAGTTATTATCAATGAAGGCACCAAGCCGGGAAGGCTATGTAGCACCAGGGCCGGAGAAGACCCACCCCATCAAGGGTATTAACGAACCCAGCCTCCTGAAGTAGAGCCTGGGCCCGCACGACCTCCGGGAGGTGGACGTCCCGGTCCCGCACCTACGGGTACCAGACAGAGATCGTCACAGCCCTCTTTCACCCGAGGCCGGCCTCCTTCAAGACCAAGCAGAAGGAAGAGTGATAATTATTAATAATAAATGTGTGTTTGTCCACCGTTGGTGGACAAACACATTTGGTGATAGCAAACATTCCCGCCCATTTCTGTCCCGTCCAATAATTCGTACCCGAAACTTGCGAGTGTGAGTCAAGAAGAAAGCCACCTATACTACCGAGACCTTTAATGGGACACATCGCACGTCACAAGCTCACAGACCTGACGCAACATGGGTAGAGTCCGCTGGGTCCCGGTGGTGTGGGGGGGCCTGCTGCCCCACGGCACAGGGTACGGGGCATGAGTTCCGAGTCTGGGTACCCCAGGCTCACAACATGCCCCTCCCACAACTCGCCTTAAGCCTTACCCTACCCTACTAGCGACCCCTGGAACACTACTCACCAATCAGTTTAGAGCCACGTCCCCCCAATTACTGCTGGTGAACCGTGCTGGAACCCGGCCGTTATCACCAACACGTAAATAAGCACCTAAGAGAGTCACCTGATATGTAAAAAGTCATTTAGAGAGAGGCCAGGCCATCATGGCGTCCCCTGCTCCACCCCCGGCGAGACAGGAGAGGAAGTGCCACATGCACCACTCTAACATTCCACCCATCAACACACACTGACCTTAACACTGCAATTAATCTAACTTTCTTAACCATACACCTTCCCCATTGACCACGCAGCGCATACAGACGCCGTGACCTTGTGGCTTGACCTTGTAGACGGAAGGTTATCGCGGGTGAGCGGAAGGTCGCCTTCCCAGAACCTCACCTCTATGCCACCCTCACTTGGGAAACATCTAAGATAGTACTCGCTAGTGTAACACAGTTGTTTAGTGCTGTGTAGGAGAGGGTTGTGGGACGTGTAATTATATAGCGTGGTTGTTGTGTTATCATTGTTGTGAAGGAAGAATTCCGCAAGAGTTAAGCCACGGGGCCGCTCTTGGTGTTATGAGGGAGGGTTGAGGCAGCTTAAACTGGGCGCCGCCGCCATACACCAGCATTTTTTTTTTTAGGTCAGTATGTTATATTTCTTGAGTCCGCGGGAGCAGGTTCCGTGCTGCTACTTCCTGTTATTTTGATTACTTCCTGTTACTACTGTTACTTCTTACTACTGTTACTTCTTGCTATTGATACTTCCTGCTGTTACTGTTAATACTATTGTGTCTTAATGCTTTCTTAAGAGACAGAGACACAGCGACGGGGAGAGAGAGAGAGAGAGAGAGAGAGAGAGAGAGAGAGAGAGAGAGAGAGAGTCAAGGCGAAGGTAAGTGGGACAAGGGTATATAAGAATTCCCTTGCACTTTACTTTTCAATTTTAGGAAAGAATGTTCCGAGGTAATTGGTAAGGACATTATTCAGGCGCTCTGACCCGTATACTTACCCAAGAACATACAGCAGGAACTCCCCACTAGGGCATGTTGGTCCACCCGGCCCGCCTGCCCCCATACCCACTCACGCGGGTATCAGTACAACCCATTATTTAAAGATAGGTATAGTATAGATGGTGTTGTGAGCACACTTGTTTCACTGGTCCACCACTCACAACATTTCACGCTTATAGTCATTAATACAGTTGTAAGCTGATGTGGTAGTTCCAGCACCTTGCTTGTTGATATCTTGGTGATACCTTGGTGATACCATCTTGATATCCTTTTGATATCTTTTCGATACCTTGTCCATATCTTTTTGATACCTTAATGATACCGTGTTGATACCTGCCATTACCAGGAGGGCCGCGGTCGTGTCTACCTGCGCCCTTCTCTCCAGGGCCTGTAAGCTTTCGTCCCACCACTAGTCACGCCCCCACCACTAGTCACGCCCCCACCACTAGTCACGCCCCCACCACTAGTCACGCCCCACCACTAGTCACGCCCCCACCACTAGTCACGCCCCACCACTAGTCACGCCCCACCACTAGTCACGCCCCCACCACTAGTCACGCCCCACCACTAGTCACGCCCCACCACTAGTCACGCCCCACCACTAGTCACGCCCCCACCACTAGTCACGCCCCCACCACTAGTCACGCCCCACCACTAGTCACGCCCCCACCAATAGTCACGCCCCACCACTAGTCACGCCCCCACCACTAGTCACGCCCCACCACTAGTCACGCCCCCACCACTAGTCACGCCCCCACCACTAGTCAAGCCCCCACCACTAGTCACGCCCCACCACTAGTCACGCCCCACCACTAGTCACGCCCCCACCACTAGTCACGCCCCCACCACTAGTCACGCCCCCACCACTAGTCACGCCCCCACCACTAGTCACGCCCCACCACTAGTCACGCCCCCACCACTAGTCACGCCCCACCACTAGTCACGCCCCCACCACTAGTCACGCCCCCACCACTAGTCACGCCCCCACCACTAGTCACGCCCCACCACTAGTCACGCCCCACCACTAGTCACGCCCCCACCACTAGTCACGCCCCCACCACTAGTCACGCCCCCACCACTAGTCACGCCCCCACCACTAGTCACGCCCCCACCACTAGTCACGCCCCCACCACTAGTCACGCCCCACCACTAGTCACGCCCCACCACTAGTCACGCCCCCACCACTAGTCACGCCCCCACCACTAGTCACGCCCCCACCACTAGTCACGCCCCCACCACTAGTCACGCCCCCACCACTAGTCACGCCCCCACCACTAGTCACGCCCCCACCACTAGTCACGCCCCCACCACTAGTCACGCCCCCACCACTAGTCACGCCCCCACCACTAGTCACGCCCCCACCACTAGTCACGCCCCCACCACTAGTCACGCCCCCACCACTAGTCACGCCCCCACCACTAGTCACGCCCCACCACTAGTCACGCCCCCACCACTAGTCACCCCCACCACTAGTCACGCCCCCACCACTAGTCACGCCCCCACCACTAGTCACGCCCCCACCACTAGTCACGCCCCCACCACTAGTCACGCCCCCACCACTAGTCACGCCCCCACCACTAGTCACGCCCCACCACTAGTCACGCCCCCACCACTAGTCACACTAGTCACGCCCCCACCACTAGTCACGCCCCCACCACTAGTCACGCCCCACCACTAGTCACGCCCCCACCACTAGTCACGCCCCCACCACTAGTCACGCCCCCACCACTAGTCACGCCCCCACCACTAGTCACGCCCCCACCACTAGTCACGCCCCCACCACTAGTCACGCCCCCACCACTAGTCACGCCCCACCACTAGTCACGCCCCCACCACTAGTCACGCCCCCACCACTAGTCACGCCCCCACCACTAGTCACGCCCCCACCACTAGTCACGCCCCCACCACTAGTCACGCCCCCACCACTAGTCACGCCCCCACCACTAGTCACGCCCCCACCACTAGTCACGCCCCCACCACTAGTCACGCCCCCACCACTAGTCACGCCCCCACCACTAGTCACGCCCCCACCACTAGTCACGCCCCCACCACTAGTCACGCCCCCACCACTAGTCACGCCCCCACCACTAGTCACGCCCCCACCACTAGTCACGCCCCCACCACTAGTCACGCCCCCACCACTAGTCACGCCCCCACCACTAGTCACGCCCCCACCACTAGTCACGCCCCCACCACTAGTCACGCCCCCACCACTAGTCACGCCCCCACCACTAGTCACGCCCCCACCACTAGTCACGCCCCCACCACTAGTCACGCCCCACCACTAGTCACGCCCCACCACTAGTCACGTCACCCCCACCACTAGTCACGCCCCCACCACTAGTCACGCCCCCACCACTAGTCACGCCCCACCCCTACACCCCACTGATGTCCAGGGGTCTCCACTACCACCCTGGCAGAAGTCTCAAGCCACACACTAGCAGCACTTCTCAGCAGACGGCCACTACTGTCCTCTTGTAACTACTCTGGGCCATATCCCAGGTCCGTCGGTCCACACAATCACTGGACAACAACAGCCAACACACCGTGTACTACCGCCGGCGGCCACTTGTCCTCTCACGGGAAACAAGTCAAGAACTCGGGACTGCCCGAGGTGAACTGCCTGCCACAGCGCAATAGACTTTCCACGTCACCTTTGTGGACATAAGTCATTAGCCAGACAGAAAGTATACAGGGAGAACATAGGATGACACGCTTTGACCGGGGAACTGAAAATGTAATCGAATGCACAATATCACTATATCAATATCACAATATCATGCGTTGATATCTTTCACCAGACGTCATCACTATCGACCTTACCTCCTAACTGAGGTAGGAAACAGGAGCCTTTCACAGACGCCACACCTCCGCCAACAGATGGCGTTGACTGCATCTCACTAAATGCTTTGGAGTTTTAGTGCAGGTCCATAGATGGCGTCGATATCACCACCCTCACTCCATAGAAAGCGTTGATATCGTAACACTCTCTAACTCTCATGACCAACATCCAGAACATTGAAACGTGTGGGCAGCACATATCCCTTAGAGTTGGTATCAACAATGACATTGTAAACGATCTACAGCGTAAATTGAAAGGAAGACTTAAACCACTGAAAACAGTTACTGGTAAGAATATTGGTATCAATAATAAATACGCTAAATTTTTCTATATGATGTTTGTTAAGTCTCTAGTTGATTGTCATGCCTTGCACCTAATTAGCTTCCCCGCCTCTGTGTTGGACAAACTTGAAGTAGTACAGAATGAGGCCATGAGGATAATTCTTGGTGCCCCAAGATGCACAAGAATCATCAACATGAGGGAAGAACTGAAGCTTCCAACCATACTAGAGAGAATAATGCAAGTTAACACTACCTTTTGCCTTAAAGTCATGAGAGACCCTACATCTCCTGCATTGCTCAGAGACAAATTATTTAGTGCTGTTAAGACCCTATTGACTGGTGCCGACATACCAACTCACTCCTTTTATGACCATTGGCTGAGCAAAAATGCCTACAATCACATTAAAATCACCATTCCTTTTAAGTGCAATCTACCTGTCTCTGATATTCCTCTTTAACTCTGCCCCGCCATTCAAGTATCATACACACCTGTCACCAACAAAGATAATGAGAATCTTGTTCTTCTCAAAGCTGTCACACTTGAACAATTGCCTCCTCCATCCTTCCATCGAAAAGTTAAGATCTCACGAGCACCCCATGGAACATGGGGAGGGTGGGGGTGGGAGGTGAGGAGGGGTTATGGAGGGATGGAGATGGTGAAATAAGTGTGTTCTGAAGATAGTTACAGCACTGGAGGAAAGATAGGCAGTGTAAGGCAAGCCTTGCTATCGGTTTCGCCGTCGCACCGCCCTCTACCTCATATATAATATACATATATAATATATATCCAATCACCGGGAAATAGCCAAGTCGCATAAATACAAAGATCATGATCACCACTACAATTTTGTCTCCATTGCCTCAGAGACACTTGGTGCCTGGGGGTAAGAGTGCTCCTAGTGTTTGGAAGGATCTGGGTTCCAAGCTAATTGAAACAACTAGAGACCCTAGATCATGAGCAAGTGTGAAAGTGCATTTTGGTTTATGAGACAAAGTCTGGGTGTTTTGTGAAAATTATGTTTGTGAAATTGTGTAATTTTAGTGAAAGTGCTTTTTGATTGTCTAAATGTATATGCAATTTGATATATTGGTGTAAATACAAATGTATTTGTATTTGTAAATATACTTATATGTAAAGTATATTTGTATTTGCAAATATACTTTGTGTAAATGTCATACTTTGGGTGTACATGCAATATGGCGTAAATTGTATATGTTTGTATGCAACTGGCATATTATTTATGTAGAATGATATATTTTGTCTATAAATGATATATTTTGTGTGTAAATGATATATTTTGTCTATAAATGATATATTTTGTGTGTAAATGATATATTTTGTGTGTAAATGATATATTTTGTGTGTAAATGATATATTTTGTGTGTAAATGATATATTTTGTGTGTAAATGATATATTTTGTAAGTAAATGATATATTTTGTGTGTAAATGATATATTTTGTACATAAATGACATATTTGGCGTGTAAATGTTGTAATTTCTGTGTAAATGGAACATTTGTGTGGAAATGCTTTGTTCGTAAATGCTATACTGAGTGTAAATGTGTATGTGCTTTATTCTGTGTGTTTTTTGATTTTGTGTATTTTTAGTGCAAGTACAAATGCTGCATTTTGGGTGAATGGTGTTAAATTAATATATTTTAGTGCATGTTATCACAACCTTAGCTTTTTATTAATAATTAGTTATATATTTATTTCAATGGGACATATACACTCTGGTTTATCCATATGAATATTATGTAGATGGGGTAATTTATTCACGTAATTACAATATTCGATGTGTTGAATATAATAGGGGTATTTAATAATATTTTGCACTTGTTTGATTAATATGATAACCTTGCTGATTGGTATGTATTAATATGAATTAACAGTAACACAAATTTATGATTACTTGGGATGAATGAGCTGTGGGGTTACTGAAATATTGTTCTTAATACATTTTAGGGATTAATATGGTATAAATTACATCTGATTAATGGGGCGATGGTGGCAAAACAGTCTATTGTCTAAGTATGTATGGGCTGTGGAGCATGTGTATGTATGTATGTATGTATGTATGTATGTATGTATGTATGTGTGACTGTTGGTTTAGAAACAAGTTGACTGATTTGCGTAGCATGATTAGGATTTTAGAGATTTGGGAGTGATTAACCTATGAATATAGTGGCTAGGATCCAGCCGAGTTGCCAGATGGATGAATCGCGGTACGACATTTGGGTAGCTATTTAGTTTTGAACTTAACATTGCATAAGAAATGATTACAGTTGTAGATGACCAGCATATGAATACAGGTATTAGAATGCTGCGTTGCTAGCTGTATGATGTCCACCTGTGGAATATAGTGTACAATTCATCTACAGTGATAAATAATCACTGTTGCTGTCTGGGAAACATTGAAATGTCTATGACCGACATTTGAAATGTCATGCTCTTCCCCATTGCATTTTTGTTGTCGAGACTAGAATGTAAACTTTTATTGACAATAAAAATAATAAAATGCATTAAATGTATATTCTTAAACCTGTGATGAGAAGGTTAGGTTAGGTTGGGTATGGATAATTTAGCTATTTTTTTAATAATAACATTTAAAATATTAATATACTACATAAATAAGTAGGATGTCAAGGCCTCATTGTGCATCTTGTGACGTCACTCACAGTTGAAACGTGAGGCGGCTGTGAGTGTGTCACACATTTGTATGTTAGTGGCAGCCAATACTATTAATGTGTAAAGGAGGACATGTAAAAGGTAAAAGGAATGAAAGGTAAAGGAAGAGTCGACTGCAGCATGTGGAGGGATACAAGAAAGTATTCCTGCAGAGGGACAGGACGAAGGAGGAGAGAGCCAGGGCAGCAGAGGCAAGAAAGAAGCGCAGGGAGAGAGGAGCAAACCAGGAAATCACAGCCCCAACACAACAGTCCTAGAGATAAGAGGCGAACCCAAAACCGGCATCCCAGCAACACCAGAGGGGAGGGCAACACCACCCCCCCCCCCTCTGCATAGAAACCCTCCCTTCTCCTCACCCTACCTGCCCCCACCCAACCCTCCCTCCCCCCTCACCCCATTCTTACCCTGTCACCCCTTCCCCATTCCCATCATGTCCCCCTCCCACCTTTCCTCCCCTGTCCCCCCTCCCCCTTCATCCCATACCCTCCCTATCCCTCCTCCCCCCTCACCCCGTATCCTCCATGTCCCCCCTATCTCCTTAACCCACTCCCTACCTGTCCCCCCTTCCCTGAAACCCCCACCCCTCACCCCAAACTCCTCTGAGACCCTGCAAACCACCTGACAGATCTTCTCACCCACGGAAAAGCTTCCCACACCAGCAGAATGCTCGCCAAGAAAGGGACAAGAAAATGAACTGAAGAAAGTGAGCTTCAAGGCAATGTACACTAACATAGATGGGATTACAAATAAAACATGTGAACTCGGAGAATGGGCACTAGAAGAAAACCCAGACATAATAGCATTCACAGAAACAAAGCTAACAAACACCATAACAAACGCAGTGTTTCCACAGGGCTACTATGTAGTGAGGAAAGAGAGAGAAGGGAGAGGAGGAGGTGGTGTAGCTTTGCTACTAAGAGAAGGTTGGAGTTTCGAAGAGATGGTAATTCATAATACTAATCATGGGAGACTTCAACCATGGAAAGATAGATTGGGGGAACAGAGACCCACATGGAGGCCCAGACACATGGAGAGCTAAGCTGCTGGATGTGGCAACAAGAAACTTTCTAAGTCAACACGTCAAGGGACCGACAAGAACGAGAGGAGGGGATGAACCAGCCTTGCTTTATCTGATATTTACCCTAAATGAATCGGATATAAGGGAAGTTATGTTGGAAGCCCCCTTGGGAATGAGTGATCATAGTGTATTGAGCTTTGAGTACCTGGTTGAGCTAGGAATTATCACCCCCCAAAAAAGAACTGGGAAACAAAGGGCTGGCGTACCGAAAGGGAAACTATGAGGAGATGAATAAATTCCTATGGGATATACATTGGGACACAGAACTCGGAACAAAGTCCGTACAAGACATGATGGACTATGTCGCTCAAAAATGTCAGGAGGCTGTAAGCAGGTTTGTCCCAGCCCAACAGGAAAAAACAGAAGCAAAGGAAGAATCCGTGGTTTAATAGGGAATGTATGAAAGCAAAGGAGCTGAACAAAAAGGCATGGAGGAACTTCCGTAATAACAGAACACCAGAAAGTAGAGAGAGATACCAGAGAACCAGGAACGAGTATGTTAGTGTGAGAAGAGCAGCTGTGAAAAGGTATGAAAATGATATAGCTAATAAAGCCAAGACCGAACCAAAGCTACTACACAGTCACATCAGGAGGAAGACAACAGTGAAGGAACAGGTGATGAAACTTAGGGTGGGCGAGGACAGGTACACAGAGAATGAAAAAGAGGTGTGTGAAGAACTCAACAAAAGGTTCCAGGAGGTCTTTACAATAGAACAGGGAGAAGTCACTGCGCTAGGAGAGGTGGCAGCAAACCAGGTGACATTGGAAAGGTTCGAAATTACAAGAGATGAGGTCAAGAAGCACCTATTGGAGCTGGATGTGAGAAAAGCTGTTGGGCCGGATGGAATCTCACCATGGGTATTGAAAGAGTGTGCAGGAGCACTTTGCTTGCCACTCTCCATAGTGTATAGTAGGTCACTGGAAACGGGAGACCTACCAGAAGTATGGAAGACTGCTAATGTAGTACCAATATTTAAAAAGGGTGACAGACAAGAGGCACTGAACTACAGGCCAGTGTCCTTAACTTGTATACCATGCAAGGTGATGGAGAAGATTGTGAGAAAAAACCTAGTAACACATCTGGAGAGAAGAGACTTCGTGACAACCCATCAACATGGGTTCAGGGAAGGTAAATCTTGCCTTACAGGCTTGATAGAATTCTACGATCAGGTGACAAAGATTAAGCAAGAAAGAGAAGGATGGGCGGACTGCATTTTTTTTGGACTGTCGGAAAGCCTT